TGCCATGTTAGTGCCATGTTAGTGCCATGTTAGTGCCATGTTAGTGCCATGTGAACCAACTCGGACTCTGAGGAGCCTAGGTTCTAGTCTCCTGCAGAAGAGACAGACTTCTTTTCTGACAATGTTCAAATAGTCTGTGCATACAACTGAAAGAAAGTATATTCTCTCTCTTTAATGTAATTTGTTCTTTATGATTTTAATGCCTTGTGTGATTTTAAGGTTTCTTGTCTTGTTTTGTTAAACACAATTTCTGCAGCAACACTTTCAAAAGAAGTGGGTATAATCATTACTATACTTCCACATTTTGTCATATTCTGTCCAAATTTTGAGCACATTTTGGGTTGTCAAGCGTCTTTAGACACAGTCATGTGCTGCTTTGCTGTGCAGTGAACAGAGGTCTACCCTGCTGTGGTGTCCTCAGAGAAAAGGTCTGGGTGCACATATTGGAAACTCTAGGTGCAAATATTGTTTGTGTCTAATATTTAATGCTGTAAATATATTGTATACATTATATTTAAAAATGCATGCAAATTTAAACAATTGACGATTGCATTCTTTAGAAAAGCACTGTCCTTTTGAAAGTCCTTTTTCGGTTTACAATCCTGCAATACAGTCTTTGTATCACACAACCTTTGAAACATTATCTTTTTGTTCGATATGGATTAAACAGCTGTTGAAAGGGCTTCTTTTTTTGCGATGACAATCAGTCTGACCATTAGCTATATCCTCCACACTCCCAGTGGAGGCCTTTGTTTTAGCCCCCATCCATACAGGCACATTTGGGCATATATATTTGAGCGAGATACAGGCTGTATCTCGCTCTTATCCTGCGCCCTTCACACACTCCTTTCATTAACCGGGACGCTTCCAGGCACACGCTGCGATCCTCCATTGTGTGCCCCTATCAGCCTGTGGGATGAGGCTGGTTAATTAATATTTAACTAAAGACCGCCTCAGAGCAAACGGGAGATTTGCCTGATAGAAAAAAGAAGAAAGTGGAGGGACGGTCATAGGGGGGGGGGGGGGAATGAAAGGTTAGCGATGAGAGCTGGTTGCAGCAATGACGAAGGAGCAAGAGAGGCAGGTGATATGGGTCGGGGAAAGGTTGTATTTGATGGAGTGCACAGGGGGAGAAATTCAATACAGCAGAGATAAAGAAAGGAAGAAATACAACGCAGTGAACCTATCGGATGAGCTGAAATGGAATTGTTGAAGGAAAAGATGTGAAACAAAGACAGGAAATAAGAGTACACCAGGAGTTAAACTATGGCAGTTTTTGATTGGTATTGAAAGTTCTTAAGTTATTCATTCCCTTTTATTTTTGTATTTATATTTGCACCCAAAATGCTATTCTCAGTGTAGTCAGATACTAACTAGAAACATGTGAGTCAGAGTTATTTAAGGATCTCAGGAACATTTTAAACCAGTGTTTTTCAACCAGCGTGCCTTGAGATGTTGTTTGGTGTGACTTGGGAAATATTCCAATTGGTCAAAATAATGTGAGAAGTTTAGAAAGATATTTAGCTATATATATATATCTACTGTGATTAGAATGACTTTGCTTTCAAACTAAAAGCTGCAAAGTTTCATGTTTGTATCAGTTTCAGCTGGTCGTGTGCCGTGTGAGTGTTTTCAACTAAAACTGTGTGCAACGGCTACAAAAAGGTTGAAAAACACTGCTTTAAGTTTAAATTACTGGCCTCAGTGTCGTCGGTCAAACAGGTTAATATATAGGTTAAGCGTAACAGTAAGAAAAATTATGGAGACAAAATAAATAAATTGAGAAGAGAATATCTAGATCCAAATCCATCATCTGTGATAACCTTGCATAGTGTTGCAAATAAATGCACTTATTTTACTGGCCAAACATTCTGACCAAGCCTGCAACCTGAATAACTGGAATTACATTTGTTGGCCTCAGCCATCTCTGTCACCCTGATTGTACCGATGGCTTTATTCAGACATCCATCATTTTGTCACATGTATTTTCCAGAGAAGGAGCTTTGGGGGTGTAAGTGCGGGGGGCAGGGGGCAGCTCCAGATGTAGCCTGTGCTGGGGTGTCATGGTTTTGGCATAGATTTAGCAAGGATTGATGTCGAAGGAGCCCAGAGCCCCTGCTATGGCATTATATGTGCCAACTGTATCATCCGTCTGATCCCACACAGGACTCTCCCAGATTAGACAAAGATGGGATTCTGGACCAAATGAATCTCTCCTTCTTTCTGCTCTTGACCCATCAACGTATATTGAAGAGAGTGAGATTAGCCTTGTCATCGAAAACAGTGGTTCCCAAAGGGGGCGGGGTGTAGGGGGGTTACTTAACACAAAACAATACAATACAATACAATACAATACAATACACTTAGATGGGGGTCACTCTGTATTTTACCAATTATTTGTTTGAAATCTCTATATTTTGTTGATGAAAAACAAGAAGAACAAAGCACAAATTAAAAAAATGTTGATGCTTCAAATCCAAAATAGTGCGGCCTTGTGGAAAGAGGTGTATTTTCAGAAAGATTTCCAGCAAAATTGTCTTCAATACCTTTTCAGGATAAAAAGAATTGGCTGTCTAACTTGTATATTTAAAGGTAAAAGAACATCCTTAACCAAATATCCATCCATCCATCCATCCATCCATGTTCTACCCTTTAATCCATTTCTGGGTCAGGGGGGTGGCAGTCAGAGATGCCACCCAAGTCTCATAGCACCAGCCCCTCACTGACCCTCTGCAGGTGGTGAGTCCACAGGAGGACGGCTGCTCTCTGAGTGTGAGCATAGCCTTGATCTTTCAGTGGGGGCTTTGGGCAAAGTGGGGTTAAGTGTCTTGCCCAAGGACACAACGACAGCAGTCATCAGTGGGAGTCCGTGGAGAAGGTGCAGAGGTGGGAATTGAACCCCCAACCAAATATAATGTGGACTATTATTATTATATTATATTATTGTTACCTGCTCTTGATCTATAACACAAGTTGACAACCAAAAAATGGTCAGGGGTTTCTCAGCTGATTCAGACTAATGTTGGTGTTCTGAGTCCGAATATCACATGCATTTGTCTTTATCAGGTCAACTTTGTGAGATACAGCCACAGTGTTACGGATTATGTACATCTACGTTATTATGAATTCTGCTTATCAAATTTGATGGAGTAAATAAAAACTGAATGACTTTGGATACGTTGACTTTTATTTCTTGAGGAAAACGGAAAAAACGTCAAGGGTTTCTCAGCTGATGATCCGCAGAAATTTGATTTCTATAGCAAAAAATCCTGACCTGATTGAGCAAAACCAAGGTCATCTTCGGACTCAGAGCATCAACATTAGTCTGATTCAGCTGAAAACCCTGGACTATTTTCAAACAATATTTTTTTGTTACCCAGTGTTATTAATAAAGCTTTAGACCGAAGTATGTTACCATTGCCAGCACCACAGAAATTTAAAAAGTTAAAACTTAATTTCCCGTTTTAATTGACAGAACATTATTTTTCTAGACATCAACCCAAACCTACTATTTTTCTTTTCCCTTCTGTAGTGGCGTGGTTTTTTTTTTGGGAAACTGCGTGAGGGGGGCTTATAGCTGTGGTGTTTCCATGGTGAAGCGTCCTCTGTGATGTCACTGTCAGGCCTCTGGAGACCCCCCTACTCCCCCCTAACACTTTTTCTCTCTCTGTCCCCCCCTGCACTACCAGTCCCTGCTGGCATCTCTGTATGTGTGTGTGTGTGTGTGTCCGTATGGGAATGGCCACACAAATCTGGAGTGCGCTAGCTGTGAAGCACCTGCCTCACTAATGAGCTGTCGAGCTGCAGACCGCATGGCTGTTCCGAAACGCTTCATTATATCTACTACAAAAATGCACACACAATAAAAGAGAGTGGCTTCCCTGGAAATTCTTCATGAAAATTGGTCCCACCCCACATGTTATAGTATATTGTGGTAGTATAGTGTGGTATGGTTATTGAAATGAATGGAGTTTGAAAGGTGTTGAGGTTACAGGGGCATTCCTTATTTGCAGTAGAAATAAGCTTAATCTCCCTAGTTTTCTTAATAATTTAATTTTACTAAAGAATCCCCTGCACCCAGTCTTTTAGAGTTCCATGATTTTAAAGAAGTATCTGGTTGCGTTTTTTCTGATAAACATTGCGATTATTATTTGGTTTGCGTTTTCTCTTATGAAGCTGGGATAATGACAATATTTTTACTTTTGAAATACATCGGCAAACTGATTCTCACAGGGCGAGCCATTTTCATAAGATCATTTGATGTTTGTTAAAGGACATAATTGCAGTCTTTGCAGTTTGCGGTCACTTACATTGCTCTTCTAATTGTGATTAGTCGTAAGCTCTAGTTGCAAGGTTAGAAGGGCAGTGCTTTTTGGAGTAGAAATAGCTACCTCCCATTTCTCTTTAATTATTTCATTTTTCAAAATCAACCCCCCAACCTGATATGTCAGCATTGTCTAGGCATAGAGTTGGCGTAGCGGGGGATTTTGGTGGGTGGGGTCTTCTCTTTGCTTTGCTTTCTAGCATTTTCCCCCCTCCACCACCACATCCTCCACTCTCTCTCTCTCTCTCTCTCTCTCTCTCTCCCCCTTCCTCCACGTTTGGACCCTCCCCCCAAACACCCACCCACCCACTCGCTCTCCTCCTTTCGTCTGCAAGCAATGAGGTAATCCCTACAGCGGCCGCGCGAAGTGCAGCAAGTGCGTGGTGAGATAGCACGCCACAGAAGCCGGTTGCAGGCTCACGAGAGCAGAAGAGGCGATGTCAAGAGTCAGAAGATCACCGCAAGCGCTTTTCCGACTACACCGTTAGCATTTCAGGAGCAGAGAAGGAGTATAGGTTGGGTTGTGGTCCACTGATGGGCAGTATGTAAGAGGGGTAGCCACACGCGGAGCCAGACAGACAAGCAAGGCAGGGCTGGGTCAGGCTCATAAGAGAACAGAAGGGACTGAAAGAGGAGCATTGAAGAGGATATATTTTGGACTGTGGAAAGGTGCACTATGACAGAAAGGTGTAGTCTGTGGAGTGCCCTGTCGGCTGCGGCGTGTTGCTTCTACCGGGGGTCCTTCATGCAGGTGCAGGTGAGTGGTGATTGCTGCTTGTTTGTATTGCATGATGCTGATAGACGGCGCATATGCTTGTATGGTATGGAAAATTAGTCAAAGGCACCAGGGGGGAAAAAGCCAAAAGAGAATTGCATGTATTTTATGAATACATATGAATAAAATGTACTAAGTTTGGAATGTGTTACAATGTCACACTGTTTATACTTTTAGTATTGGGTGTACATTTGCAAGCCTGAACAGCCAATGTTGAGTTCTTTGTATAAATACAACCTGTTTGATGTATGTTATGTACTTATAACCATATTTATAATTTGACATAACTCTTAACGCTAGGGTACATACATTTCAATCCCAAAAAAAAAAATTAAGTTGTTAAAAAAGCCTGTTTAGTTCCCTCCTCAAAGTAGTGACTGAAAAGGCCCTTTCTTACAAGTATGCAAAGTATGTTTTCTATAAAGATAAAGTCTGTTCCCAAAACAGTATTTCACAAGACTCTTTCTGTTAAGAACACCAGCTTTAATGTTAAAACAAGAATCACAAAAGCCGTATACAATTACTAAACTGCTATTAAGGGATAATGTACTTTTCACCATGTGTCCTTTCTATCCTTATACCGGCCAATTTTAGATGCACCTCGTTCAACTTTGGCTCCTCCGAGCGGCAACTTTGTCCCAGTAGCTGAAATGTCTACTTGCTTGGTCCACTTTTTCTCGGAGACTGATGATTTCATATTAGATCTCAGACAAAACTTTAAAATTCAGCTGGTGCCCTTAAATGTGGTGTATGAAAAGATTCTGGTGTATGTGTGAAATGGAATCTGAAAGTGTGTACACTTAGGCTGCAGTGGTGCTTACAGAGTCTTAATATATCAGTTAACAAGTCTAATTCCAGCCTGGCACTCGTAACATTAGCTCTGACCTTATTCTTTGGACGGATTACTTTCTATGTATCAGATATGCCTTGTCACACTTGATATTTGATACTTGTTGTGTTGTGGGACTTTTCAGGAACCACATGAGGGGAGTAGGATGATATTTTAGAAGTTCCATCTTAAAGGATTGCACATGCCTAAACTGTCAAGTGAATGACATGCGAGACAATGTGAAACAGTACACCCTAGGGAACAGAGGGGTGGTACTTCTCGGGGTGAAGATGCAGAGAACGGGAGTTTGAGGTGCACAAAATCTGGCTGCTGCCACATAGTCATAATTAGAGCTTAACTTTGTAAGCTGTTGTGTTTCTTTGAGCTTTAGACTGTGCTTCAGGCCACTAATCCTGATGTTAGCTGCACCCATGTTGGTAACATCCTCTGAGTACTTTTGAAAGCAGCTATTCCCCACTCATCCTTTTCGCAAATTGATAATTCAATTGTAGTTTGTCGTCTGTTCACCAAGTGCCCAAATTAAGCTGTGACTTTAAGAAAGACACTTGATTCTAAACATCTCACTACATTTCTATACCTTATTACTAATTGTATTATTATTATTATTATCAAAACCAGCACCCAAATTATGAAATATTAAAACAAAAGCAAATGATATTTAAACAATTAATGGATACATAGATTATGAAAAATGTGTCCAGAGCTTTATATACTCGGGTGATTGGATGCACCTTTGTATTTGCTGCACTGGCTTAAAGTAGCAATATGTAAGATTTTCATGTCAAGTCATCTTTAAATGGTCCTTAAATGTCAAAAGGCATTGATCATGCTCTTTTCCAATACTTCTTTAACTGATGACAGTAGTTCAGAGATATTTTAATTTTAAAGTTAGTTTTACAGCCCCATCTTGTTATTGTTTTCATCTTGATGTCCCGCCCGATCAGAAAGTCTGTGATCCGGGTTGCCAGAACACACCTTGTCAAGCTAATCTCACTGGTAAAATACAATGTTTGGCCGCAATACTTAAAAAGGTCTCGTTATGATTCTCAAATCATTAAGTATTTCTATCAAGGCCTTCATGAAAAAGGTGTTTGTGTTTGACAAAACTCTTGTCTATTCAGTTATCATTATTTTGGTCCCATAATAATCCCATGGATTTGTCTGCATATCTGGCAACCTGAGTCAGGGAGAGTGGGAAAGGCTGCAGTGCCACTTTTGGCCAGATTTGTACATACGGCTCTTTTAAATGAAAAGAGAATAGGGTTAGGGTGGTAAATAGGCCACAGTAAACGACCAGGGGATATACAAAACAGGAATGGTACGACAAGCTTTAAGGCAGCATTTAATTTTCTGGGCTCATTAAAAGGGGCTGTCATTGTCTGACTATATGACAATATATTATCTGTATTTTTATTATGTTTACATTTTTGTATTGTGAAGTACTTTGTGAGTCTGTGTCTCCGCAGGAAGCACCCTTTCCCTAATCCAAATGTTTAAACCAAACATTCATTTGATTGTATTTTTGTAATTTAGTTTGTGCTTTAAGACCTAAACATAGCATCAAAATGTGAATATTTTATTCATATTGTGCATATTTTTATATTTGATTTTGATATGTTATACATGCTTCAAGATACATTTGTTATTGTTTAATTCATATTTGGATTGTTTTCTTGGTCCATAAGGTTTATCATGTTACAATTTGCCATTTTGTCTTCATCTGCTCAGATGTTAATTTTCTTCTATTCGTGTGAGATGTTTTAGTATCGCTATTATAATTAATTTTGAGTTTTAGAATGGTTTTAAAGAATTGCCTTGCCACTGATCCGTATTCTGGCTTCCCCATGACATATTCACCTTTCGAGCATTATTCTATTCAAAACCTTCAAATGAAATCCCACTTTGTGTGTCGGAGCTCTGGATTTGCTTAAAGTGACGTTTTCTAAGTAAGTTATTCTGATGAAATCAGCAATGAGGTTGATCTTTTGCTGCGGTCGGTGTGTGAGTGAGGCCTTAATTAGCTAATGCATGAATCTAGTTTAGTGGGAACAATCTCATTGTGAAAAAAAATAATTGAGTCATTCTTGGATTTCGTTCACGAACAGTCGTTTTTTCATTGTAGACAATATTGATTCTCCCAATCTATTCTAATTAAAGAAAGACAGACACAATACTGCTCCACACAACCCAAACACTGTCCTCTGCCGGTATAATAACTGTTCAAGTGTATCTTCATAAACAGTTATGTGTCAATTGCCACTGAAAGAGAGTGATTTATTGGACCTGTGGTCCTCCACAATAACTCAAAATTAAGCTGAAAGTAGCACTTTGCTGATCAGCGTTTACAATGCAGGAGTTCCATAGGGGCGACAGTAGCTCAGTTGGTAGAGCATTGGCCGTAAGGCCAGAAGGTCGTGGGTTCAATTCCCACCTCTGCACCTTCTCCATCGACTCCCACTGATGACTGCTGTCGTTGTGTCCTTGGGCAAGACACTTAACCCCACTTTGCCCAAAAGCCCCCATTGAAAGATCAAGGCTATGCTCACAGTCAGAGAGCAGCCGTCCTCCTGTGGACTCACCACCTGCAGAGGGTCAGTGAGGGGCTGGTGCTATGAGACTTGGGTGGCATCTCTGACTGCCACCCCCCTGACCCAGAAATGGATTAAAGGGTAGAAGATGGATGGATGGAGTTCCATAGGCTGAGCTGTGTTGGAAGAAGCCAAAGATATAGATTTTTAAAGATAAATAATTGCTTTGCTTTCAACAAAGATGAGTTACAAACATTGAATTAAGTTTTGGTTCAGTGCATTTTGCCTCGTTTTTCCTCACTGCTGTTTCCCATTTGGGGCACGCAGACCCCTGAGGTTATGTGAAAGTGTTATAATTAACGTGCATTAACTTTACAAGGTTTTAAAACTAACTTAGAGATGAAAATGATAATCTTATCATGTAATTAATTACATAAAACATAGACCTTGAACGCATTATCCCATGGTCAATCAGTATGAAATCACTAGCCTTCCTTCTTTTAGTTTTGGTTCAGTTCAAGCATGCACTCATTTTGTTCAGAAAAATCTAAAACTCAAGTTGAATAAAAGCAATCATCTGGTCAAATTACCTGCAAATTTATAAAGCCAGATGCACAATCAATCCATCCATCCATTTTCTACCCTTTAATCCATTTCTGGGTCAGGGGGGTGGCAGTCAGAGATGCCAAGTCTCATAGCACCAGCCCCTCACTGACCCTCTGCAGGTGGTGAGTCCACAGGAGGACGGCTGCTCTCTGAGTGTGAGCATAGCCTTGATCTTTCAGTGGGGGCTTTGGGCAAAGTGGGGTTAAGTGTCTTGCCCAAGGACACAACGACAGCAGTCATCAGTGGGAGTCGGTGGAGAAGGTGCAGAGGTGGGAATTGAACCCACGATCCTTCTGGGCTTAAGGCCAATGCTCTACCAACTGAGCTACTGTCGCCCCAGATGCCGCCAGATGCACAAGATGATCTAAAAATAATCATTATTTTAAACATATTTGGGGAGCAGAAGTTGTTTTCCACAAGACTCATTCTTTTGATCCTCTCCTGTCTTTTGCCTCGGTTATGCCAGTCCTCACTGACTTTCACATATTCTTAGCAACCCTGCACTTCTATACTGAATCACAAAGAACCGTTAGCTGCTAAAGATACAAGCGACCCACAAAACATGTGCAACTGGTCGTATGCTAAAATAGAGATCTCCCAAAGAACCTTTAATGAAAATGATGGAGACCAAGCAGTAACAGAAGAGCCTATTGAAAGGTCATGACCCCCAACCAGCTCTCATGTTTTCGAATGTGGCCCCCCGACTAAATGAGTTTTACACCCCTGGGGTAGGTGAATGATTTTTGTCCCCGTTAACAGCAGGGGTTACTCATGCTCTGTCTAAAACTGGTGAGGGGGTTCTAAAAAGGGCTAAATTGTTGGAAACCACATACTGTATGTACAGTGTAAAAGCTTCTGTGTTGACAATGGCGACTGTTGTTGCAGTGACAGTGGGGCGTGACCTTCGCTTATGAGTTGTATCAGTGAAGAGATTATACTTGATCCTCTGGTCTAGACCTCGCTAAGCTAACTACTAATACACGCATCTGTCCTCCTCA